AATATCACCGCTAAGATAAATTGCTGCATGTTGCCAAAACATTAGCACAAATAAAGCTTATACATATCAACTAATACACTTAGATGCTTGAAGCTCAAGAATTAGTCTCTTCACTTGTTATTGTGTGTACATTCCTTGAAGTGATGTGATACACACTCAGCACCCTGATTTTGTCTCCCAGTTCACAGAGGAGAAGCTGGGCCAGGCTGAGAAGACAGAGCTGGATCCACACTTAGAGAACCTGATCACTCGGGCCGACTGCACCAAGAACTGGACTGAAAAGATCTTGAGACAAACTGAGGTGCTTCTACAGCCCAACCCAAGTGAGAGACGAGAAAAAGACATGTGACCTCCCAACTACATGTTACATCTCCTCATATGGAGTCCCAAAAGAAACAAATACCATTTATGGCTTTCTGATTAGTAAAAAGTGTAATTGAATAAGAAAAATAAAAAAATTGTAAAACACTTTTTTTTTTTTAATTTAAATCGATTGTAAAAAAAAAAGAAAAAGAAAAAAAAGCATTTTCCATTTTCATTCAGGGACTCCATAAATATTGTTTGAAACATATGTTTCAAACAAGCAGGAGGCAAACCGTTTTGTCATTTTGAAATCTGTTGGAGAAATATCTGTATAACTTGTTTAAAGGCTGCCCTCTTTGAGCAGATTGAAATAACTTAGATGTCACAGTGTAATTGTGCAATTTTAGCTCAGCAACTCAATTTTTTCACTAAGCGATTTTTTATATCACACTTATAGATTTTCATACTCCTACATTAACCTGTAATAGACTTAGAGAGGATAGAATAGTAGAATGGACTTTGGTAGTAATGTCTAACTCTGTGTATTTTTTTAACCCTCCATGCTCCAGTTGACCACACTGGTAAGTCATTTCCCAGGGTACTGTGTAAGGAAAGATTGTGTGAACTCATTGCACTTGAGCCTCATCAACATGAAACAGTACAGATGATATACAGTGTAGCACATACAGACCTACAGTATGGCTACACGCTGTCATTTCTGTCTGAACATGATAGATTGTGTCACTTCACATGTTGAAATGAGAGTGAATACTGTTATGCACTAAGAGGAGAGCTAGTCTGCTGTACAGTGAATGGACCCACTATGTGTGGATATAAACAAGTGTTTAATTACTAATGACTTCCCAAGCAGAGGGACACCTGCAAGCACTTCTGATGGCGTGATAATTGTTAGAATGGCAGAGGTTTAAGTAATTGCTGTCAGCATGAACAAGATGTTTTTCCATGTTTACAACTTTTTTTTATGTTATAATAACAAGATTTTTTTTTGTTAAAAACATAATGAACATCTTGTTTTAACAAGAAACTTGTCATTTATTTGCCTGATACTGATTTTTTTTTTTTTTTTTTTTTTTTTTTTTTTTTGTATGCCTCCTCACTGACGATAGCCGTTGCCAGGGTAGAAGACCTAGCATAGCCGTTTTTATAGCTTGCTTAAAAAAAAAATGTTATCACACCAATAAAATCTCCAGGTAGCTATTCCTAGCTATTTTACTTGTTCATCTAAGATGTAGGCAATAGAACATTTTCAATAAATTATAAACATATACATTTTTTTAAATAAAGTAATAATTCATGTTAATTCCAGAGGTCAATGGCAAGAAAAGAAAGGCAACAATAAATATCTTAATTGTGTTGTATTTCCATTATATGGTTATTTGAAGACGCTTAATAAAATGTTGAAATTAGTAATGTAACAGTAGGCCTATGCATTGTTCTCTAATTTTAGCTTGGTATTTTTCATCAAATTGTTTTGAGAGCCCTTCTGAGAGAGAAGGGCAAGAAAAAATAATGTTGAGATGCTAAATACTTTTTGTTTCATGTAAGAATCTCAGATGTGTTGTTGTATTTTCATTATGGTTATATTTAAAGACATCACTTATCTTATTTAATTTCTCTGTTTTTATATCAAAATATAATGGAGTCATCAATTCTGTGCTTGATGTTTCTTTACTTTTTCTTCTGTATATTGTAGTCAGGGGGGTTAATGTTTATAGAATTGTAATAAAAACTTAAGCATTGGGATGATTCAGTAAATTGTTCCAGGATGAAAATTTTCAGAAAGTGTCCCACTTTAACAATTCTCACCCTACTCTGAATCAAACAGGCACAACCATGTTTTCCACATTGTGTGTACACTTTCACAGTTGTCTCTTTATGACCTGTTATCCAGGTGCTCGAATAGAGGAGTTCATCTATGACAAGCTGGATAAGAAGCTCCCTTCCAGGACGACTAATGCAGAGCTGCTGGGACAGTACATGCTGGAAGCTGCCAATGAGTTTGGTTCAGGGACGCCATATGGTTAGTGGTGCTGTTACTGAAACTGATAATGTTACATCAGACAGTTTTGATCTCATGAAGTACTTTAGGGCTTGGGATGCTTTCCTGAAGCAGCTTTCTTTCTATTAGCAACAGTCATGAACTAGTTGATAGATCGGTCTGTGACCTAAAACTCACATACCAAAAAGCAGCTATGAACTGCAGGGTGAACATCAGTCTGTACATTAAAGTTCAGTGTTGCAGGACTGAATTCTTTAAAGGTAGAATCATAAAGATTTTTATTACACTGAACAAAAATATAAACGCAACACTTTTGTTTTTGCTCCCATTTTTCATGAGCTGAACTCAAAGATCTAAAACATTTTCTATATACACAAAAGACCATTTCTCACAAATATTGTTCACAAATCTGTCTAAATCTGTGTTAGTGAGCACTTCTCCTTTGGCGAGATAATCCATCCCACCTCACAGGTGTGGCATATCAAGATGCTGATTAGACAGCATGAATATTGCACAGGTGTGCCTTAGGCTGGCCACAATAAAAGGCCACTCTGAAATGTTCAGTTTTATCACACAGCACAATGCCACAGATGTCGCAAGTTTTGAGGGAGCGTGCAATTGGCATGCTGACTGCAGGAATGTCCACCAGAGCTGTTGCCCGT